CTTTAAATATACAAATTTTAACGGATTTAAACCAAAATTATAATATTTATTATTTTTTTAACATGTTATACTTAATATAATAACCTATTTATTTTATCAATTAGTAAAGAACTTATCAAAATTAATAAATATCAACGATTGAAGAGCAACACAATATATGTATCCCCAGATGGTTTACTTAGGATTAGAAACCAAAAAAATCATCTCTCCAGGTAAGTCATAGACAAGACAATGGTAATTTAACACAAGCGTGTTTACAGTGTTAGCCAAACATTAAGAACAGGTTTTTGTAAACTTAATGATGTACTTGCACTGTTTTGTTAGTAATTTTCATAAGCAAATAGCGTTTTAGTTAACTAAATAACGTATTAGTTACTTCGTTCCTACATTCCGTTAGGATGGATGCAATTTAAAAACCACTCTTGCGCATATAAATTGAACGTTTTCTCAACGTGAATTATGGGCTATATGTCGGATTCGATAGTACCCCGTATATTTTCCTTTAATTACTAGAGGTCTTTGTTATTCTTATTTACCAGATTTTTATTAATAAATTAATATATTAACGTATAAAAAAATTTTAGTAATACGTACTTTTATCTTTAACCTGTAAACTACAATACTACTTAATTAAATTTTATTAAACTATTTGAGTGAATCTTAAGTTTCAGATTAAAGTATGGTTCAATAAACAAATACATTTTTGAAAAATTTTTTAACACCGTTTTTTTGAGTACATTAATTTCATCAAATAATAATGTAAATTCAATTACTATTAAATTACTTAAAAATTATTTGTGTCAAATTTTATGATAGACGCGTTATATAGCATCTATAAATTTGAATATACTCTAGTAATGAAATCTTTAAGCCTAAAGCTCAAAGAATATAGGCTTTTATGGTAATTTTACGTGACAGAATGAGTTATAGCGTTATTTTAATCACATAAAATGGGAGTACTTCCAAGTAATAGATGTTGATGGCATTTTAAATTACTTTACAACGCAGCGTACGTGATTGGACCGTGATATTTTGTAGTCAGTGCAAATTATTTTATGTATTTTTAGGTCCCGATGATGAAACGATGAGATCTATTTCTGGACTAAATCTAATCACTCATTCCTACTAACTTTAAATGAATAATGTAATACTTTTTAACCACGAATTTTTCTATCTATTCAGTAAAAGTTAAAACAACACACAAACACTGTTTCATTAAGGAAAATTAAGGAAATCTTTTACTAGTTAAGTTTGTCATTAGTCGTGTTGTTGTTTATATTGTCTGTGCTTTATGAAATACGATGTCGAATTTATTCCCCCTCGTCAGATAAGATTTGGAACGCGCGTAATTACTAAGTAATATTATTATATACTAGCTGTGTGAGGAACTTCGTCCGCGTAGAATAGTTATCTTGGGAATCAAAATTTGTTTTTGCAAATTCGTCATCTTTATGAATTATAGCAGTTACCCACGACGTTGGTCGCGTTCCGTCGTTCTTGCAAGTTAATGTTAAAATATAAACATATACTGTCGCGGACATTTTTTTTTTATGCTATCATAATTTTTTGTATTTTGCATTTCTAAAAAATTTTTGTAATTTCTAAATTTCCCATTGTTTCTTTGATACTATTCGTCGTAGCGTGATGCTTTAGAGCCCAAAGCCCCTTAATAAATGTTTTAACTGACACAAACACAATTTCAATTTGAAGGAGAGATTAATTACCTGAGATTAACGCGTTCAAACATATAAACAAACTCTTAAGCTTTATAATATTAGTATAGATTTCTTATTAATTCCCCCTAAAATCCATTGAAAAATGCAAATACAGTTGATATCTATTATGCTGCATACTAAAAATAAAGTAATGCATAATTACAATATCTAAAAATAGACCTATCACATAAAAACAAGTGAATTTGAGCAACGCGCACGACCCGTAACGAGAGTAAACTGTGTCGCGTGCGCAGATGATCTCCGCCAATCATTCCGTTAATTGGAGAGAATCATCGCTGTAGAAAGTCTATGGCTATAGCTTGGTGGGGCATTATGCAGTGTCATCGGGCACAGCCAATTCAAGACTAACTTATACACTACAAATAGCATAATATAAATATATATAAATAACTCCAGCTTGACGGAAGTGACAATATTATATAACTAAATTCTATTTTATGTTAAACAGAAGATTCATGCTTGTAACTTAAAGACCATTAAGAAATATATTTTAGAAAAAGTAATTTTTAATGTAAAATTTTTTTTTACCTTTTTTACAATATAGGAGACAGCAATATAACAAGAATATCTCAAGAAGATGCACTGTCCACCTACTTTGGATATTTGGAAATCCACAGACTGAAACCGAAACGTGATTAAACTTCACGGCTTTTTAATCTGTGGACTTCATTCATGACTAATATCCAGATTACGAGACGAACACTAACATGCTTCAAAAAAATTATAAATAGAATACCATTATGTTGGACTCGGTGTGCATCGATATACGACCCGATGATTATTAGGAATACATTGCTACCGTTGCAATTTGTGTAAAACAAGTGTTCATCAACAAAAATTACAATTAAATTGTTTGAAGAGCCACAAGTACAATCTTATAATTAACTTTGGAGCTGTATTTAAACATAAAAGTTACTATTCGAATGATTTACACCAGCTATAAACTTTGTTGATACCCTCAAGTGCGCGTGCGCCGGATTTTGACAGCAATTATGTCGTGTGACTTGTCGGACGCGAAACAATGGCCGCGGTCATCTTTAATGGGGTTTTTGTCACTTGTATGAACTCACTTTACCCCAAAATGTAAGATACAGATCAAAATAAATATAATAAAAATAAAATCTTAAATGGTAAATATATACCGTGGCTGCCATTTTTTTTTAATTATTTAAAGAAAATGTATTTCAATCACGCAACAAAAACCCTCTAAGACGAATAATTTTTCCCGTTTTTTCGATCCTATAGGTCGTCATCTGATGTTTTACAGCCTAATGCCTTCCTCAGTAATTTTTCAATTCGAACTTGTAGTTCCTAAGATTAACCCATTAAAAAAAATCTTTAGCTTTATAATATAGACCTTATTTTTAATGCCTAGTAGTCGGCAGCTATCACTACCAAATACACATATTTCTTGTAATTCTTTCTATATTTTCTGTCTTGAATTAGCCAATTGAACGCTGATGGCGCAGGTTTATCATCAGCGCAGATAAACAAAAACTTTTCAAGAGTCTAGATCTTCTATGGACGAGGCCAAGTTGCATTTATTACACTTCAAAGTGTTACGTTGTTAAGGTTGCATTCTACTAAAGCTGAAATATCACATACATATTGTACAATACCACTTACATAGCTCCAGTTCTTTTCTAGAGCAAGAGACACTGAAAGTGAGTTCTTTTTGTGTCAAAAGTTAACCACTTCTTCTGACGCAAGATATGAAGTTTGTTTTTAAGAAAGGCGATGTACGTAGTTTTCTCGATTAGCACACATTTAAACGCGAAATATATGAGTTAACTTATTTAAATTGAGGAAACAGAGGCCACCACTGTTGCATTAAAACGTCGCGCTGTAGTTAAAATAATATAAGTAAACGCAAATTTTTGCGTTTCGAATGAGGGAAAATGTGGAAAAACGGGGAAAATTATTCATCTTTAAGGGCTTCGCGTGCGGTGCGCATACGGCTCACAAACCAAAGGTATAGAAACGTTCCTCATACCGAACGAAAAAATTGCCGGATCCGTGAATCATATGAGTAACGTGAAAAGAAAAACTTAACGGAAATAAAACAATAGATTTATTAACGCAGAAACCAAACTCTATTGCATCACCTAAATCTTTGTTTTGCTTCCTGCCTAAGCCATAACTTAGATATTCTATTTATTTTAATTATTCACATATGAAAGGAAGTGATTGTAAATACATAGTAATTATTTATCTGTAATATGCACCTGTACAACCTCTAACCAAATAAGGAGACTATTGTGTAGGAGTTACATAATTATATGGTAAAGATATAATGTAGTAACAATGTGTTTAAATAAAACGCTTTCAACGGTTGGAAACGCGAAATACATTAGTCACACGAAATACATAAGCAACACTAACCATTACTCTATCTATACCAATTATTATAATATAGCGTATTATAAATAGTTCTATCACAATAGTTCGTGAAAGGCAATGCAATGACGACGTCTTGGGTCGTTGAGTCAGTGGTCCTTCCTGCGTTTACCATTTTTGGGTTGTTACGTGAGCAGCCGGGACGCGACCAGCAACTCAATGACAGGTCGCTACCATGTCCACAGTATTATATTTGCAAGCAGAGGAAGTCATTATCCATTGCAGACGTCAACTCTAAACAACTACAGAGATAGGCAAGAATTCAAATACTTAGTATTTTAAAGTTTTACATGTTTTACAAAGTACTGTTTGTAGTAGTATAAAAAAACCGTGACCATGGCTGCTGCAAAACATGTGGGCAGTAGTTAAAATAATTTGTAGTTTAGTAAGTTTAATTTTAAATATGTAGCAATCTTAACCCCTAAAAGTGGTTTAATTAAAGCCATTAGCGCCAAACCCTAAGTGAAGATATTTAAAAAAAATCTTTAAAAAATATTTTTTTCCATCCCCCTTTTTCTCATTTTTTCTTGGATGTGACATTTAGATACACGTGGCCTGGGACATGGTTCACTAGGAATGCATGCCTCCTAGGCCATTTGTATCCGAAAAGATACACAGGAAAAAAGTTTTTCATTTGTTTTCGTACTCGAGACCACGCTTTGAAAGAAAATATGCGTACGTTTATATCTAAGGAGTAAGTAAGAATAATACATAAAAAAATAAATCATAGTATTTTTGCTTACGTCATTCGTTAGAATATAGAAATAAATTAGCTCGCTATTCACCGGCTCGGACGAGTTGTATGCTAGCCTAGAAAAATTTTCTCCAGACATTTTGGCACTGAATGAAACATGGACCAGGGAAGGAATGGAGAAATACATGCCACCCTTACCCGGGTATACTTTCAAACACGCTCCAAGAGCATCGGGAAGAAGAGGCGGGGGAGTCGGCTTTCTTATCCGTAAAGGTCTTCGTGCTCGCGTCCGTCCACACCCTCCGGCTGCGTTGGAACAGATGTGGCTAGAATTATCCCTACCTAAAGCAGGAAGAATCGCCGTCGGCACCGCCTATAGACCGGAGTCGGTGAAGTTAGGTTTAGCTATGGATGCTCTCAGCGACTCTATTAGCTCGTTTGGCCGATGTGCGCATGTCTTTTTACTAACCGACTTCAACGTTGATATGTTGAACACCGAGAAGGGCAAATCGTCTGAGCTGGCTGCTGTGTTGATGCAACAAAACCTGCATCAAATGGTATGTGAACCGACGCGTATCTCGAACACATCTGCAACGCTTTTAGATCTTATAATAACAGATGTCCCTCACATGTGTAAATGTGTTAAGGTAGTCCATAACCCTATACTTAGCGACCATGCAATGGTAATTTCGGAATGGCGAATGAAGAAGCCCAAGCCGCGACCTCAATATAAATATGTCCGCGCGCTGAATACAATAATACTAGAAGACTTTGATAAAGATTTGCAATGTCAACCGTGGAATGAGGTGTTATACGAAACAGATGTAAATAAGATGGTTCAAAGTTTTAACAAACTAATTACCTATTTATTTGATAAACACGCTCCCTTAAGAAAGATTCGTATAAATGTATCGCCAAGACCGTGGATTACCGAAACAATAAAAGCAATGATGAGACTTAGAAATGATGCTTTTGATAGGGCTCGACGATCTAAAAACGAAGTTCACATGCGATATTATAAGGACCTAAAAAATGTAGTTAATACTGCTTTACAAAATGAAAAAAGGGCTTTCTTTACGCAGTATGTCAATGGAAATAGCAATGCAAAGAGCATGTGGAGATATCTTAAACAAGTTGCTTTAAATACAGAGTCAAACAGCATTGATTTGATTCCAGATCATCTCCGTAACTCCAATGAAATCAATGACTTCTTTTTGAAATTGCCCGACCCACCTATCGTTGATAATTCTTATATGAGTAGTTTTAGAGATAATAAATTCACCGACGCAACCTTTCATATCTAAACTTGCACCACAGACTCAGTAAAAAAAATCATATTACGCATACATACTAATGCTGCAGGATACGATGAAATAACAATCAACATGATAAAAATGACTTTATCGGTCACACTTCCCATAATTACCAGAATGGTGAACATGTCCATTGCAAACCAAACATTTCCTGACGCATGGAAACTGGCCAAAATCAAACCTCTACCCAAGAAAACAGACGTAAAAGAATATACAGATCTTCGGGCGATAAGTATCCTTCCCATATTATCCAAAATCATAGAGCGAGTCGTTTCTGGGCAGCTCACCGAATATATGGAGAAAGAGAGGATCCTACCGGACGTGCAATCAGGATTTCGGGCTGGGTACAGTGCGGCTACTGCAATGGCACATGTCGCTGATGACATTATATCTAACAGCGACAATGGCAAAGGATCAATTCTTGTGCTGCTAGACTTCACGCGGGCTTTTGACAGCATCAATTTAGATCTCCTCTTAGCCAAATTATCATACTACGGTGTGGATCAGGACGCCTGCAGTTGGTTCAAGTCATTCCTGACCAATAGAAGACAATTTGTCGCCTTTGACGCAGAGATGGAGTGTTTTCGATCGGAGGTCAAACCTATTGGTCGTGGCTGTCCCCAAGGCTCAGTATTAAGTCCCGCCCTATTTGATATTTACACTAGCGATTTACTCCAATACATTAAGCATGGGAAAATCCACTTGTATGCCGATGACACACAAATATACTACGCAATCGACCCAAACTCTCCACAAAAAACTATAATACAAATAAAAGAAGATTTGGGCGCTATACTATCATGGGCAAACAAGAATGCGTTGGTATTAAATCCGGCAAAGTCTAAATACATGGTTTTGGGCACAAAGAAACAATGCCAATTAATAAAACACCTACAATTTACCATAAGCCTTGACAACGCTTCAGTTTCTCAAGTGAAAGTATGCAGACACCTCGGAGTCCTGGTAGACGAGCAGTTGAGATTCGAGGACCACATTAGCCATCTAGTCCGAAACGCCTTCTATAAACTCAAGGCGTTATACAAAATTAGAGAGTGTTTAACGGAGAAAGTCAGGCTAACATTGGCGGAGTCCCTAATTCTCTCAACTTTTAACTTTTGTGACACTGTATACGGGCCTCGATTGTTCGCAAAGACGGAACGTGCGATACAGAGAGTGCAAAACGCATGTGCCCGGTTTTGCTTTGGGATGCCTAGACGAGCCCACATCTCCCCCTATCTCAACAAATACAAACTGCTAAAAATGAAGGGAAGGCGGGAGATGCATTTAGCGGGGCTTATGTTTAATCTGGTATCCAGAGAGAAACCCCGCTATCTCTACGAGAAGTTAGAATGGGCTGAAACTTCGCACTCTCTTAACACAAGGGGCAGGACGCAGAATCTTTTACTCATCCCTAAGCACAGGACATCGAACTTCCAAGGAGGATTCAAATATGCCGCTTCAAAAATATGGAACGATCTGCCTCCACCTCTTAGAGCTAGCTCTAAGGATTTAAAAATCGAAAATAAATTGAAAAAATTTTCGACTCGGGCAGGACTTGAACCGGCATCGTCAGCTTTCCGTGCTGTTGCTCTACCAATTGAGCTACCGAGTCCTACACCTCATCGTCGAATTTTTTCAACTTATTGATACATGCACCTCTCGCGCAATGTAATTTCTACCTTAACACTTGCGTATTAAGGCTCTAAGGAGATGACCTTCACGACGTTCAAGCGGCATGTTAAACTGGACCTCCTTGGAAAGCAGATGTGCAACAATTAATGGTTATATTGTTATTCTATAATGTATATGTTGGCTAGGGTATATCAATCTCGGAATTATATTTATTATATACTACTTTTCTAAAAATCACTTCTTTACTTCTATGCGCGGGCCAGTCTGAAAACCAGCGCTGCTGAGTGTGACAAGCATTCAGCAGCATAGCTGAGACTGGTACCGATTGCCATCTCTTATATATTTATTACTATATTATTATTCTTTTTATGTACACATTTAGTTATACGTTATAAGTTGTAAATATATATATTTTATGGCAATAAACGTTTTGAATTTGAATTTTGAATTTGAATTTGAATTTGAAATTGAAATAAACTTATTTATAACACAATTATCACGACACAGAGACGTCTCAAAATGCTTATTTATTAAAAATAATAATATGAGTTATGCAATAGCAATTCTAGTAAATATAAGTCAACCACGGTTACTTAATTTAAAAAAAAAAAGTAACGGTGTAAGTAATGTAGTTTTCTACATTATTATGTAGAAGTTTTAAATTGATTCACTGTTGGTCTCTCTTACAGGAGAGAAGATTTCATTTAAGCAGACCATTGCTAAGACAGTGGTCCATGGTATGAGGACAATGGCATCTCTACCAAACTCTAGAAGATGAGCAGGATGACTTAAGGAACGTATAAGAATGACCTAGTAACGTAATTAATTTCATAGACCGTGAAAAATAACACATAACAACAATTATAACACTTATTGCATAGCTTTAATGATGCATGTGGAATTAATTATTTGTACCGTACACATAAGTAGGCAAAAGCCCGTACGTTGAGGCGCTCTATATACTTATACTAGCTGTCAGACGTTGTTTGTTTCGCAGTTAATATTATACAACTATAACGAATAAACTATACTAATATATATGGGCTGAAAAGTTGGTTTGTTTGTTTGAACGCAGGTTAATCTCAGGAACTACTGGTTCGAATTGATGTGTTGTGTTATGTTGGTTAGAACATTTATTGAGAAATGTTATAGGATATAAAACATCGCGCAGGATACTACAAGCGAAGGAGGTTCAGCGAGAAAAGTGAAAATTGGGAAAATTAATTCATCATTATGGGTTTCCGAGGCGGTTCAAGATACCCAAAAAAATTTATGAAACAATGATTTCTTTTTAAAGGATTAAAAAACTCCCCCGTTCCTTTTTTCCCATTTTTTTAGGATTAACTTGAAAGAACGACGGGAAGGGACGCGACGACGTCGTGGGTAACAGCTTATGTTTATACAAGCGAAGGGTCTTGAGAAAAGTGAAAGAATGCTCAAAATAAGTGTGTTTTGTTTTTTTTTTTTTTTCCTTTTTTAATAAACTTCCTTTGTAATAGATTTAAACAATATTGTAATGAGTTTCTATAAATATATATTGTCATTTTAGAGAGGAACCATTCATTTCCTTCAGTAAATAAATGGTATTTTTAATACTAAAATAATTTTTCAATTCGAACCCGTAATTCTTGCGATTAGTGCGTTCAAACAAACAAACTCTTCAGCTTTATAATATTAGTATAGATTAGCTCTATATATGTCAGGAAATGGCACACTTAACTTGAATATTAATCAGATATCGAGTCACTTTAGGCTAAGTGTGATATTATTTATACATCCACTTTTTTATAATATTTGATTGTTCGGAGTGATGTACCGAATATGGTTTTAATCGTAACCGAATCTTGGTCGAGTTTACGGTTTAATAAAAAATTCGGCTGTTTTACAAAATAATAGTTACTTCGATTAAATAAAGTTAAGTAGAATTAACTTACTTATAAAAATCTTCGTGTTTTTCTTTTATATTGCTATCAAAAGATTGAATAAATCCCACGAAGACGTGTAGCTCAATTGGTTAGAGAAGTAGCACGGAACGCTATAAATTACGGTTCAACTAGCGCCCACAATATCAATTTTTACCAATAAAATGTGAACAATATTTAAGTATTTATTATTATTTTATTAAAAACGCATTACATTTTTAACCGATTTTAAAAAGGAGGATTTTGTTCTTATGCCTCATTTTAATTCTAAAGTTCTGTTAAAGATGGCGAATTAATTTAAATCATACCTACTTGCGTTCCTAATAAAAACTAATAATTGAAGGTCGTGTTCTGTCATCAACATCCTTAATAGATTTAGTTTCTCTGATTAATAGATAAACAATAATCACTGCCTACCGTCCGCCTACAAATTACCTTCACCCATAGACAACTGAATATAACTAAGAGCTAACATAAAAGATAACTGACTCATCTTAAATAAATGACAACCTAATCTACCCGCCTTCGCTTGACATCTGCATTACCTACTCATGAAGCACATTTTAATCAAATAATTATGTTCTTAGTTTAATATTTTCTCAGTCTTAAAAATCTAAATCTAGTCCCATTTCATTTAAACAAAACACTCTTGACGATCAGACGAAAAACGTCGGACTGTAGTTAAAATAGTTTGTAAAATTTAACTTATACATTTCGTGTTTTAAACGTTAAAAGTGTTTAAATGTGTACTACTCGCATAAACTAAAGACAATATTTACTTTCATTTCAATAAAAAAATATATTTTTAATTCTGTCTGTTTGTTTTAGGGACAATTTAAATAAGATTCTAAGTTACATTTTATTTTTGTTTAAAATATTGAAAGTTAGAGAAACTTAGCCGCATAAAAGTGGCTAGATATAATTTTGTTATCTTATGTAAAGATGGTTATATTTGACAGTTTAACAGTGGTTGAAGTAGGCGCGCCGTTATGTCGTAGGATTTTAATGGAACGAGATAAAATAAAGGAGCTTAAATGTAAGTACACAAGTAGATATCGATGCGAAAAATAATGTTCCTTCACTACCAGTGCGCATAAGTTTAAAATATTTAAGTAATAACAGAGACGCAACTGAAGAAACATTTAAGTAAAACACACTTAACAGTTAACGAAATGTATTAGTTAACCTAACTTCTTAAGACGTAAATTAAAAAGTTGACTTTTCGCGATAAAATGAATCGACAGGCTTGTAGATGTAATATAATGGAACGAATGTGTAGCAACTAGCAACGGAGCCCGGGTTCGATTCCCATCTGTTCCCACATTTTTCTAACCATTTACAAATTTTCAAAAACAACTTGGACTTCATCTAGAAATCTAGATAATAAATGGATGGTAGGAATATTAATATTCCGTCTGGGCCACGAAACACGGTCCA